TAGGGGACATGTATTGCTTATGCAATACTCTCAGAATGCTTGTTTATGTATGGTACGGACAGACAGTGTCTGACAAGGGGATAAACAGGAAGTTGACATCAGATTTAACCTCAAGTGTTACCCACCATGCATATGGCATGCCTTAGCAAACACTGTGCTAAAATTTCAATCATCTTCAATTAATAGCTGATCGAGTTCCTGAGAAAACTGCAACCAAACACTTACTACAAAAACACACACAGGCAGACAGACAGACAAACGGACTGACACACAAAGGTAAATCAGTATACCGCCCTCTCCTTCGTAGCGGTGGTATAATAAATCCTTACGAAAGGAACTGTAAAATATCATCTGAACAACATAGAAAACAATTTGAATCGAGGAAGGGGGGGGGGGGGGACTCTTGACTATGTGCTTGTCCTACTTAAACTAAGAAGTGCATGTACAGGTTAAAACGTGTATATAAACTATATATGTTTCAATTAATAAAACAAGTTGCTTCCAAAAGATAGGTCATGATTTTATGTAGGTATTTATTGTTTCCATGGAAACAAATCCTGCTGCAGTAATTCAGATATATGTGATCAGTTTAAGTTTGAGTTCATCTTTTTTTGTCCCGGTAAATAAATTAGACTGAAGTATAATCAAACACTGGTGGCAGTTTTATGAGTTTTGTATACTGGTACATCAATAATTATTTGGATTTTGGATTATTCCTGAATTATTTGGTTACCATAACAACTGTTTTTTTTTTTTAAATAAAATTATGAATTTCTATTTTCATGTTAGTGAAATGACATTCTAAGGTTTACATTGTTTTGTGGAATTTATTTCATTGAGGAAGAAATATAATCGGGCAATAAAGCAGTAGATTTTGTATATTAAACATATCAACGATAAGGTTTTTCCTGAACTATTGGCTGCCATAGCAACCATTTTTAAAATAAATTATGAATTACTATTTTGATATTTAGATAAATACAATTAAATTCAATTTATTTTATTGAAAAAGAGAAAAAAATCACGAATGAAGCTTTTATAATATTGCTGTATACTTGTCAGTATCACAATATTTGTGATAGCAACCATTATAAGGAAGTGTTCAAAAACTATTTGGTTACCATAGCAATGTGATTTGGGACGCTCAAATTTTTATTTATTACTTTTTTTTAATGTACATAAGTGAAATAACAAATATGATAAGTGTTATCTATTGTTTGAAGAAATTAAATAATGCACTGATCGAGGCCACAGATTCTGCATAATGAAAACACCAATAGCTACAGTGATTTTTCCTGACTTTTTGGTTGCTATAGTAACACATTATTTTTGTTTAATTTATGAACTTGCATTTTTATCATTTTATTTTGAAATTATGAGGTTTAGGAGTGTGATTTGTTTAACTCTTGATTTTTTTAAAGCTATAATGTACAAAAAGGAGCCGAATGTTGAATCTACAAATTAATCCAAAATCTCCATGGCAACCATTTTCATTTTCGTTTCATTTTATTTTAAGAAATATTACCACTCTAGAAATTTTATATTTTCATGAGTAAGGAATGACCTTTCCAGTGATGGTAGTTGTTTGTTATGGATTGCCCGCGTTTTCTTGCTACTACGCTTAGAAAATGCCAAAAATTGGCATATTTTCAAATTTGTTAAAATTTGAAAAATTCACACTTTTCACTGAAAGACAACTCTTTTATGACCAACTATTGAATTATTTCATCAGTTGTGGTAGTTACTACAACACATATTCTATCAGAGTAGGCAACAATTAAATCTGTAAATAAAACGCAGAAAATAGAATTTTATGATGAAGATTGTATACTTTCAATAGGTTGCTCTGTATTTTTGGCCTCAAAATGGTGGTTTTGGTTACCATGGCAACCGGGACTAAAAATAAAAAATTAACCCCAAAAATGTTCTATACATGGTGTTTCTACATTGCATGCAAAAAATCAGCAAAATCTGTGATGTACCATTTCCAACTTTTTTCTAAATTCTTTGATTCTTACAGAGAATGACTCTTATAATCCTTTTTAGTTCCTATTCAATCATTTTGCTTTTGCTCCACCAGTTGCGTCCCTCTCAATAAATAAGACATCATCTTTTATATGAAGAATTTCAAGACGTTGCGTGTGATGTAATAATGACAATATACATTGTATATTGTTCAAAAATAGATAAAAGGCCGTTAATCTTTGGAAACATAAGATCAAAACAAGACAAACATTTGCAAAATGTTTGCTCCCTCCCAACTCGGTCTAAAAATACTAGGCAGGTAAGTAGGTAAAATATTTTCTCGGAAAAAAAAAATAATTTCAATGCTCATTTTTAAATAATATATTCTACTGCATATATAAAACAGTTTTTTTCTGGAGGTTAAAAAAAAGTTATGAATCGGGTCATTTTTAGAAAGTCGGTCGGGAGATGGTAACCAATTTTTTTTTTTTTAAATCTCAACTTGTCCAAAGTTTATTTTTTTCTTGCATGAACATACGTGTTAATGTTAGGGTTCAGTATTTTTTTGATTGTTAAACATCAAATTCATATAATATTTCACGGATGTAGCATTTATATTAAGTGGAAAAAGATGCAAATCTTCATTGAATTGACTTATTTATATAAAATAGCGTACGGGTTTAGGGATAATAAAGTCAAGGACAAATGTCAAATATATTTCATTCTATTTATCATCGTTTTGTGAAACACACGGTACTTTACATATTTTAATCCTGATGACAGCAAAAAATATGTTTCAATATCCTGCATCGAATGCAACATATTTTTATTTAATCAACAGAGAAACAAACCTTTTTTTCTTTATCATTATTCATATATATTATCCATATTTGACTTGCTGCAACAAAATTTAGAATACACTTGGGTTTACCCGTCTTTTAGTGAACATTTGAATAGTAAATTGTTATGTTGGAATCTCCTTCCCTCGGTTGCTACGTGCCTGGTACGTTACTAATATAAGATCTTCTCTTGGGTCAAATTATTTTGAGGTTCCAAGATGCACTAATGGTTAACTTTGATGGTCCAATTAATCTTAGGCTAACAGTTAAAATGAATTAAATTTGAACAAGGATAAATGAATACTGACTAAGCTACAAGTAATCGTATTTTAGTGTCTCAAGGGCGTCGCCTGTTGTTCAGAGTTCCTATGGCTTTGGTGCCCAAATTAAAAAAAGGATCAAAAAGGATTGCTTGACTACCAAAAATGATCCAAAGAATTCCTCTTTCACTCTACTTTTCGATGTGAAATTATCCCAAGGACCCATTGCATTCACCTGAAAGGGATAAATAATCCAAAACTTCTTACTTTGAAGGCTCAACAAGTTTAATGATTTCAGTCATTTTCAAATGACGATATAACCTTAAAGTACAATCAAAGATTTTTACTAGAATATTCCATTTAAACAAGAAACTTTCGAAGTCAAAGCGCGTAATTGAAAACTGTGCATCTATGAAATATTTTTTCAGGCGTAGCTACAGATGTGCACAGGTTAATATATACATGTAACTACGTTATGAAAATATAGTATATCGAGCAATAGATAAGTTAAACAAAAAAGGAAAAACGAACATATACATATTTAATTAGAAAATATTTGTATATGAGAAATCATTAAGTCCCCTTGAAAGAAAGTTTTGTTTGTTTATTTGATTTTTAACGTCCCTTTTCAGAATATTTTACTCAAATAGAGACGCCAGAACTTCACGTTCATGGTTTAAAATTTTTATACCTATACATGGCACTCAGGACCATCAAGCAATGTGGTATCTCTTTCTTTCAAGCACCTACTGAGACCTAGAACATACAGGACTCATCCGAAAGTTGCAATTTAAGGACCAGCTCCTTGCTCAGCAAATCTAGAGCATAAACTCTTATCACTGCGCTATGCTGGTGACCTTTAAAACAAGTAAAATGAAATGAAGCATTAATTTGAAGCGTAGAAGTAACTTGAACCATCGGTATATGATACCAAATCGGTTGTAGGTATAAGCAAAAAAGCCTGCGTAGCGCAGTGGTTAGAGTGTCTGCTCTAGAGTTGCGAAGTAAGGAGTTATGAGGTTCGAATCCCACTGTGAGACGTGGAGACCGGTCCTTAAGATGAGATAGTATAAATCGAGGTCCTGTGTCGCAGTAGGTGCTGGCACGAAAAAGACCCCTCACTGTTCAATGTCCCTATGTGTCGAGTATAGGGCTAAATTTACAGCTCTCCAACGGCAAGTGGTGGCGTCTCAGTATAAGTGAAAAATTCTCGAGAGAGGCGTTAAATAACATACATTCAATCAATCAATCAATCAAATAAGCACTCTGAACTTTTAAAGACTCCAAATACTACATAATAAATTCTCAATACTTTAACTGAATTCTATTTTGGTCCGTAGAAGTAATGCCAACTAAACTTAAAATTGAAAATCTTAAAACGTCTCGGGCACATAAGAAAAAAGTAATGTCTCTATTATTAGAGATGACGTATACATGTTTGTCACGTGATCTTATATTTCTATATAAAACACTCGCAGTGAAGTGAGTTATGTTGCCAATAGGACACAAGTCAAGAATTAGCAAACAACTGTCGGGTAAGTTAGCTATAGCAAAAATATAATGAGTATCTTCAGATTCCAGAGACATGAAGCTTGATTTAACTTTATGAACAAATGCGAAATAGATTTCTTTATAATTTTTCAAGATAGTATTTACATGTAGTTCAGTATTCAGGGATTAAAGAACTTGATTTTTCAATATTGATACTACAAAGTGCATTTTAATTTATTAATTTGTGCATAAATCATCTATATCTTCACGTATTGTTACCAGGGCGGCGAACATTTTGTTTAGTCCATGACGACTTTTTTGAAAAAATAAAAGAAATTTATATCTAGATAAATATTTTTAAAAATGATTTTTCAAAGAAGGTATAGCCTTTATTCTTATTTTTGACTACTATTTATTTATTGTATGTATTTTGATAATATTTGTAGATACAACATGCAATTTGCCGGCTCTTTTCTACCTATATTCATTTGTGTGGTAGTACCTTTGATAAAATATGCTGGTGAGTGTTTACATACCGGTACTGTGAAATCACAAATTTTCATGGGGGTTTAATTTTCGTTGTTTTCGAGTAATGATGAGACCCACGAATTCATGTCCACCACGAAATGTAAAATGTTACATAGATAAGTACTCATTAATTCTTGATCCACGAAATCAAATACCCACGAACCAAGAGATTTTTCTCAAACCACGAAAATTTGACCCCACGAAAATATGTGATTTTACAGTATATTATACTTATTTAGATCACCTTTTATTTATTCAACATTGAAAGCTTAATTTTTCCTTTTTTTAAAAAGTTAAATCCTTGTTTTTAACATCTGTGACAATAGTTCCAGGAAGACATATATATACATTCAGCAAATATATCCTTTTAAAGTACAGATGAAAAACATATTTTTAAGGACTAGAAACAATTCAAATTTTCAATTCATCTTTTTTTTCAATTCAAGAATCAGTAAATTGTCAAACACAACAGCTGAAAGGCCTATGTGCCTTGTCTGGAACGTGGAGAAATCAGCTACAGTCAGTAATGACGATAACTTGTAAAGGAGGAACAATAAAAGGTCAATATAACAGCGCCGTCGGTAATGCTGAACGAAAGTATGACCTTGCAGGGAGGTATCTGCAGGTCAACGAGACTGATTTTATCGTTGGATGGTCCGTTGCCTTTAAAAATCAATACCGGAATGCCATGTCTATTGCCAGCTGGACTGGGGTTTACTACGCCGCTGAAGGTACTATCAGAACTCAGTGGATTCTAGCGTCCTACAAGGATCAAGAGGATTACTGGAGGACCTATTCAACCAATCAGGATACGTTCACGAAGATCCAATCACACCCTTGTTTACAGAGTAACGTGAATTAGAGGGCGTGACTGTAATTTTTTGGATGTACACCTAAAAGCAGACAATAGGGTGTATGTTTTCTTAGATTGTGGCACTGTAATTGGGGTCTGAATAACTCAGAAGTAAAAATCATTTTTAAGAATAATTTTCATTTTATGCTTTGGCTCTTTCACAGTAGCTCAGTCAGTAGAGCGCTCAAGATCGATCGTGAGGTCGTGAGTTCGAATCTCGGCCGCGACAGACCTAAGTCGATAAAACATTGGTACGAATGTTTCTTCGCCATAAGCTCGGCACTTGAAGTGAAAGTTAAGGGTCCTTCGGATGAGCCCTCAAAAACCGAGGTCCAGTGTCTAGGTAGGCGTTGGCGCGATAGAAGTCCCTTACTGCTCAATGTACCTGAGAGCCGAGTGAAGGTCAAAATTTGAAGCCCTTCACAGGTATATTGTGACGTCTGTACATGAGTGAAAAATTCTCGAATGGGTCGTAAAATAATATACAATCGATCAATCATTTTCTGTTTTAAGAAATAACTTGTGATATTATATAAGGTCACCTGATCTGATAGATCAGGTGTGCTTTCAGATTACCGTTAGTCCAATGTCCTTTTCCGTCAGGCTATAAACTTGTAGAATCTTTTCATAAACCAATTTTAACAGAACTTGCCACAAACCTTCTGAAAATACAGGGGAGTTAAATTCTTTCAGTGATCTGTTTGTTTAATATCCCTTCGAGAATTTCTCACTTATAGTAGGACCACGGCAAATTGATAGCGAGATGAAATATGAAATAGATGAAATAATAAAAATTATAATGGCAAACATTATATAAAAAAACCATTTTTCAAGAACCATTCTATCAGAAACAATAAAACGTATTTGAACGTCGATTCCTTTCTGTAGATCAAAAAAAATTGATCACAAACCCCGGAGAAGGATTTGATGACCTTTTACGTTTTTTTACAAGGAATATTAAAAATCACCCCAAGAATAGCAAAGGCAAGGAATAAGTCATCTTTATATTGAAGCAACCACGGGTTGTGTAAATTCATTTTTGTTTAGACTAGGGGGTTGGGGGTCGGACCACAATGGGTGGGTAAAGGAAGGTACAAAGAAATACGCATGCTAACTCTCGATTCCCGCCTACATTTTGGAACCATTTAATTCAATATAAATAGCAATTTGGCCATAAAATCTTTGTTTAATACAAAGAACAGTTTAATGGTAATTGATGAATTGCCTTAATACCAGCGCTAAACGGTAAATTATCCATAATTCCAGCTCTTGAAAAAAGGGGGGTAGACGATATTTTACATTGAAATCGGAGTTTCAAGCATCACCATATTTTGAAATAGTCTTGGATTTAATTAAATGTTCTTTATATCTTTTCTTATGTTTTTGGCAAATAAATAAAACATAAATATATCAATTAAATATAATGTTTCAGTTGTATAACGCTTTGAAATTGGTGGAAAATAAGCATTTTTATCGTTTTTTTTTTGGTCAATAAACATATGTCCCCCCCCCCCCGTGTCACACAAAAAGCTTTGGTATGAACTTGTGAAATAACATTCCATATTACCTGTAAAAAGGAATTTTTGTGACACGGGGGGGGGAAGATGTTTTAAAAATATTTTTCGTTTTCCATTGATTTCTATAGTAAAAAACACAAGTTTTACCAAAATTTTAAAGTTATCTCTCTTTGTTTTCCTAAATAAGTAATGTTTTATGAAAATCCTGATAATAATCTATAAGAAACATTAAAAATGCATCGAATTTATTAACTTTTGAAAATTGACTTGGAGGTAGGCGGTAGAACAATACTATCGTTCGCAGTTCTTTGAAGTCCTTTGCATGTATACTTATGGTGACCTCTCTCTATCAGTAAAAGAATCTCTAGTGGGAACGTAAAAAAACATACAAGCAATCAATCATTTTGAAACGCAATCCCTTCTTTTCCTTTCTTTTCTGACCCACCTGATGATTAAATCTTCGATAATGTTAAAAAAGATAACTACGGGTAAATAAGACATATGGATTCCTTAAATATTGGACTCTGTTATGATTAAATGATCGTTGATAACTGTATTTATGTCATCAGTATTTTCATACTCAGCAAAACGATTTAAAGCAGGGAAACGTAATAAAACAACTGAGGCCTGTTCAACAGAGCGAACGTTTGCGAGCGCTAGCCAAAATTCCTTATACTTTCTATAGTAATTTTGGCGAGTGCTCGCCAACGTTCGCTCTGTTGAACAGACCTCTGATTTAAAAACAATGAAACCTGTCTAACCCGACATGCAATGGGAGACAATTATTGTGTCAGAATAGACAGGGTGTCAGATTGTACAGTGTAACATGGAAAATAGGAGAAAGGAAAAGAAATTTAACGTCAGAATCCACAGTGTGACGGATTGCACTGGTGTCGTATAGACAGTTTTCACTGTACATGTATTGGACTTCCTTTGTTGTATTATTAAGGTCTTCCGTCTTCACGGAAGACCTTATAGTGATTCTATTGTTTCTTATTATTCTTATTATTATTATTATTATTATTATTCTTTTTTTTGACAAAATTTTGTGCAGGCGATTTCTCGAAAACTATTCAGCAGTTTTTCATGAAACTTTCACAAAATATGTGTCGTTATATGAAGTTGTTACATCCGTAGAGAAATTTTGAAAATTCGCTTCTGGTGCCAAGTTATTGACAATATCCTGATTTTAAAATGCAATTTTGTCGCCCCTTTTTCTCGAAAATGGCTAAAGATATGATCTGGAGACTTATTGGAGACGATAGTTTGTCAGTTTGTGGTTTGCAGAATCACCTTCTCGTGCGTCGTCAATACTTCCGGTCGTTACGAGATGCAAATTTAAAAAAATCGTATTTTCCAACTTTTTTGTTTTTCAGTATTTCTCATTTATTTTTGGTATGTTAATAGAAACCCTCCTCATAATGCTTACTATACAATTTGTTTGAATGTTGATAAATCTAAACTCTAGATATTAGCATTCAAAAATCTGAAGCGGGTCCAAAATGGCGGCGCTCTCTGGCAACGCCGACATTTCGCAATAGGGGTTTACGGAGGCAGCCGAGCGTTTGCTTGAACGAAAGCAACATAAGAATAAATGAAATGTAAAGGAATACTTGGACTGTCACGTCGTAGTTTCGTTGCATTTCTGTGTCAAACTAACGTCTTCTATAATTGGTTTGGCTGGTTTTCAAAGTAGAAAAAGGAAAGACTAAACGTGCAAATGAAATTCGATACCAAATATCTTTTGTGCATCACTGAAAAACAGATCTTAAATCATACTTATGCATAATACTTTCTCAAAAAAGAATATTAATATTGTCAGTATATATCTTATTAAAACCATTGTTTTTCCTATACACATTTGTGACATAATAAACTACTAAATAAAACAAAATATAAGAAAACAATTTTTTTCAAAAGATCGCTTCATGGATTTTATTTAAGCATTCTTGTCTCAAAGACCTGATTCAAGTTACTGAGCATAAATGATATCTGATTCCTTGACTGTCGTAGGGCGAGCCATATTCTTCGGCGAAACGTTTCAACCTTTTTCGATTAACTAATCGAGATAGTTCACTTTGGGGATGAACTGGAAATTGAAAAAAAATCATAACTGTTTCACCGCTTAAGTGTTACATACATATGTACAATATGGAATTTGTAAAATGTGTTAAATATACTTTCTAAACCTCGAATCTTAGGCTAAAAGAACGTTCTTTTTTTTTAATTTCATTGAAGCTATCACACCTATATAATAGAAAATTCCAAAGAAAAGGCTCAAGATTAACTCGTGGCGTTTGGCGCTAAATTTTGAATAGTGACCCACCTTTCATAATTTTAAGAGAGAAGCACTGTTTCCATAATATATTCAAGTAGATTTAGAGTAGAGGTCCTGATAGCGTAATATTAAGTGCTTTGGAATTTCCTGTTGGCGACTTGGGTTCAATCCCCCTTGTGTGCAAATCTTTTTTTTTTTTTTTTTTTTTTTTTTTACATTTTTAGCTCGATTTTACGTTTTCTTTCCAGAATCGGACGGAAGACCTCTCGTTGCTCGCAACGAGTTTCATATCTAGTTTTGTTATAATAATTGATAATAATTTCCCATCTGACTTTTTCATGTAGAAAATGTTTGTCCCTCAAGAAAGTTCATCTTGAATGTAGGACTCCAGCATTTTTTTTGTATGTGTATTTGTGTCAAAACCTCATCGTACCTAATGAGTTTCGCCACCAGTGAGCCAGAAGTCAAAGTATATACCAAATTAAGCGTAATCTGGGACTTTTTCTTGTTTGCTGACGAATGTTTAAATGGAGTTTTATTAAGAGACTTACTTTAAAATTCGACAGCTGACATTTACATTTTAGTAAATGGAGTAAGTCTCTGTTTCAATTGTAGAAGTCAATCGTCAATTGTAAAAGTAAGTCTCTCATAAAACTCCAATATGAGCATTACTACTGATTACAAGGTTATTCAAAGTAATCATAGTAAAACGTTCAGTACCTTTTTTGGAAGTAACGAAATTCTTCCAAATTGAATTGTATCCATTTCACACCTTCCTCTTGACATCTTCAAAAATATTACATGTACATGTGTAGTTAAACCTTTTTTTAAAATTTACAAAATGTTGGAAATATCTGTTTTGGAGGGATAACAAGAGTTCTTACAAGTACCTTTCCTTCATGACGCTTAAATTTCTCCTTTGCATATCATGATTAACAAATGCTTTCTATCCATTCCTAAAACTAACATTCCTGTAATTAGTGGGCATTAAAAAAACATGCATGAAATTCATTATGTGAATGAACAATTTTATAATCGTATCAAATTAAACTAAAAGGCAAACAAAAACAAAAGAGTTTTAATGTGATTTTTTTTTATCAACAGAACATAAGAAGAAAAATAATTGGGTTATTTTTTCACTTAGTCTCCCAGTAACATTTAAGGAGAGTTACATGTACCTTAAGTGGAAACATGTCATGTGATCATATCATTTTATATAAAACAGTCCAGAGAACAAATAACGATGCAAAGAATACATTGGAGAGTTACTAGTGATTTTAAGGTAAATATTAAAAGGTGCAGTATCAGAATTTTTCTGAGTGTTTCGTAAACATTGAATTTAGTTTGTTTTTACTGATCCCCCATTAAAATCGTTTCTTGGTGTGGTTATTTTACCCAGTAATATCTCTCTTACCATAAGCAAAAGTAAGTTAGTTATTTTTTTATGTTTAAATTTACGAGATGTACAGTATATTGATCATGTTGTTGAATCGGAATTTTTACAGTACCCGCATCACATTCTTTACTATTCTATCGTGTCCTATCGTGCGTGTATCCTATCGTATCGTGTTTTGTGTTTTCTATCGTCTTTACCGTTTATCATGTTTTGCTTTTATCGTGTTGATCGTTTATCAGGTTCTATGATCGTGTATCATGTTTTGCGTTTATCGCGTATCTTCCATTATATGAAAAAAAAATTCAAAGTGTGTTGAGTGTGTCCCAAATTTAACGTACTTTGAAAAAAAGATGAGTGAACAAGGCGGGCAGAATGCCAATAGCGTCAGATATTAAGAAATCATATGCAATATGTGAATTAAGTACATGTATTTAAATTACTATTGTATTATTGAAAAAAAAAATTCTGAGGAAAAAAAATCTAGGAATTTTTTTTTCTTTCATAAAATTATTAGATGGTATTCGTAGGTTTCTAACCCTAGCAATTAGAATCCGACGTATCAATAGCATACTGCTTTGAGACTAACGCGTTAACCAATATGCTACATGTACATTACTCTTTGTGATTTTGGGCATTTATTAAATCATGTTTGTGATATGACCCGCGACTTAATGGACTTAAGATTTCTCGGAAAGATGCGAATGTTGTATCATAAAAGTGTACTTTTAGGGTATAATGGGTCTTCGCTTCATGTCTTTGTAAACCAACAAATGTGTATTTTATCGCAAACTTTTAGGATCATCTTTCCAAAAAAAAACACGATAGTTTTTGTTCTTTTCGGTGTGTGTAAGCTTTTTCATAGGCAAATGTTTTCAGTTTTTGTGAGATTTTTGTAAATTGTAGAGATTTTACATAAAGAATATCTTAATTTTAGATAAACTATCAAATAAAATAAAAGTGTAATATAAACTTTAGCAAAATATACCAAGCCATGCAGGTGAATTTTAAGAGGAAGATCAAAATGACAAAAAATTAGCAATATCACATAGGCTGATTTTTACCATTTAACTTTTCCTAATAAAATTCCCCTGGCTTGGTATATTTTTCTTAAGCTTATATTACACTTTTAGCACCATGGTAACATATTCTGAAATTTGTTTTCACCTGTAAACCTTTAATGAATGTGATTTGTCTGTATTTGATTTTTCATTGAAATATTACTAATATTTTCAAAGTCTTTTTTATATTCCTGTTCTTAGGAGAAAAAAATTCTAAAAACCATCCACTTTTCTAAACTTGTGACATGATATTAAATCTTTTTCAAAGAACAAATTTGTTTGTATCATCTGTCCTTAATTGAGATTATATTTTTCAATTTTTATCTGTCGAACTATAGGCACTTCGCCCACCTTATCCCCCCATCTCCTTTTTTTCAAAGTGCATTGATTTTGTCCGGATTTTAACGCATTTGGAAAATTTTTTTCAAAGTGCGTTGCCACATACGTAACTTTATTGGAGAAGTTGATTTTATTTCCGGCTATTCGGTTATATCTTGTTTATCTAATTTTGATTAAATTGGTTATAGTTTTCAACATCCCGCCCTTAGAATATGCCTCATATGAGATTAAGTCTAATTTTTAGGGTTTTAATTCATTTGCCGACTTAAACCTATATCAAATTATTTTAAGTAACAGTACACACAAATTCTTATAGCAATGATTTATTATCATTTAGTTAGAAAAGCCGCATTTCATTTTTTTGATATTCATTATTTTTTTATATTTTGTATTGTAAAGAAAAAAGTATTTTTACATTCAATGTTCGTTAATTTATACGAAGTTTTTTAAAGTATCTGTTATATAAATGTTCACACACATGTATATGAGAGCTTAGCTTACACGTGCATGTATATGTGCAGTTGTAGCAAATTCATTATTCTATTGACACAGTTTACATGTATTAACGCAGAGCACTATTATATTAACTTTTTTAATTTTGTTAAAACCGCTTTCTTTGTCTCTTTTTTTCGACCGGTCTTCTAAATGTAATTGTTTTCTAAGATTTTAATATTTAATTGTGACTTTTGGATTCAACGCAGGTTGTAAGCTTTAGACATTAAATACAAATACTTAATTTTCTGCGTAAATTTCTTCCGTGAAATAACTTTGTACTTGTAAATAATTTATTAGGTACAAATGTATTTTTTTTCATTAATAATAAAATAAATTTATTTATAGTGTTTCATAAATATATAATAATATACCAGTGAGAAACAGCATAAATCTATGGTATTTCTGTGCAACAATTACATGTAAGTTTAAATATCCGTAATTAAACGATTCATAGTTCAAACTTAATTTGGTAATTTCGACATTTACAATAACAATCGGAAATCTCAAATCTTGAGTTGAAATTAAAAAAAAAAACAGTCTGCATTTCATAATAATCCATTAAAAAATTGTCGAAAAATAAATAAACTTTTATAAAATTACCAGAGTGTTCTCATGTTGTTGTTGTTTTTTAAATACTTTAAATATATTTTATAATTTAAATTTGAAGATTTGCAAAAATTTAAATTAAAATACTGCAATAATCAAACAAAATAATCTTTTCGTCTTGTAAAAAAAGTTCCACATTTTGGAACAATCCTATCAGGTTTTGTGTTTATCCTATCGTGAAGATCGTTTATCAGGTCTATCGTGTTTTGCATGTATCGTGTTTTGCGTTTATCGTGTCTGGCGTTTATCCTATCGTGCATGTATCCTGTCGTATCGTGCGTCTATCCTATCGTATCGTGCGTGTATACCATCTAAACGTGCGTGTATCCTATCGTATCGTGTATTCTGTAAAGTATAATGATGCAGGTACTGTAGCTTTCAATTGAAAATATTACAACTCAAATTCTTTTTCTTAAATTTGATAAAATGAGATATACTATTTTGGTTTTAAAGGGTTTGGTATTTTATAAGATGATTCTGGGGGCTACGTCTTAATTAAATATCAATGAAAATAATTCAATATTTCTTAAGGTATACAGAGTCTATACCGTTTTTAAGGCAAAAATTTCTTTGAATAGATCCAAAAACTATCAGTACTTTTAATTGGTTTTAAAATTTATGGTAAAAACAATTCAATGCATGCATGGCTTTTTATATGGACAAATTTTAAAATAACTCTTCTTCCTTCTAACTTTGAATCTGTCAATTTTATAGACTTTTATAGTTTTTATATTACTATGCTTTATAGGTAAAGTATGAAGATTGTTGGCTATTTTCTGCCTATGATGATTTGCGCAGTAGTTCCTGTGCATCCATTAATGAGAAGTACTGGTAAGCTGTCCTACATATTTTACAATAATTATTGCTCGTGTACATTTAAAGTTCTTAATTTAGTCTTTTTCTGTTTTTAATCTTACGTGATTATAATCCATAAAGAAAAAAAGGATATTAAACATCAATTTGTATTATTGACGGGATTTTTTTAACAAAATGAGAAAGGACATATAGTTTTATGAGAACCTGAATCTTGAACTATATATGGGCTCTATATGGAACAATGTGTTTTCTTACAGGAACTGCACTTTGTCAGAGACCGGAAATGCAGGGATTATGTGCCTTGTCCGGCACTTGGAGAAATCAGCTGATGTATGAAATGACAATAACGTGTAAAGAAGGAACCATCAAAGGTCAATATATCAGCGCCGTCGGATATGCTGGACGAGAATATGACATTGAAGGGAGGTATCAGAAGGTCAACGAGACGGACTATATTGTCGGATGGTCAGTTGCCTTTAAAAATAAGTATCGTGATTTAAAATCCGCTGAAAGTTGGACGGGGGTATTCTACGCTACTGAAGGTATAATCAAAACTCAGTGGATGAAAGCATCATTCAAAAATCCGGAAGATTATTGGTCAACCTTTACAACGAATCAGGACATGTTTACTATGGTCGAATCACACCCTTGTTTGCAAAACAACAAGAACTGAATGCATGCAAAACAACTAACAAAATCTTTTTTCCATTAGCAATTCTTTGCATGGCTTACAATTTTATTTTGAGTTACAGAGCAGCTCAAAATTTAAGATAAATTTTGTTTCAATCATAATAATTTAATGGATGAAGCAATGATTAATTTTGTAATATATAGTTTAGAACACTTTAAAGCGTTTTTTAAGACTCTGATGAGTACTATTTATCTTAACACTTCACATTCTGCATTGCGAATCGTTTTGATAATCTTTGCAACTTTTGGTCTACATGACTTCTAAAAATGTTTTAATTTCAAAGATACTGTAATAATGTTAGCTTAATTCCTGGAATTTGAAATTCGATCAATATATTTTCTATTATATTGAATACCTTCTGGTGTCTCCTTTCTATTGTTATTAAAAATTTTTGTTCCTACCCTTATATAAAGCAGTTATTTCATTCATTCGAGGCTTTTCTTTGTTGGTCTAAGGACCAAGCTTTCCCCTTTTTCGGCCATTTAGCAGGTATCTTATTTTTTCTAAATTAATTTTCTATTTTCCCGGACGTAAGTATTTATTTTTGATATTTTGTGTTTGTATTATTTGCTATTCTATAATAAATTATAAACCTTCGTTATCTTTCTTTTTATTTTGAAACTTTTTACAGACGAACTGAGAGTAAATAATGAACCTGGGTTGATGATTTGATAAGAACATTATTCTAATATATTACAATACAAAGGAAAACATTTGTTTCTGCTCTTTTACGTGTTCTAATTTCAAATTTTACCTTTGTCTAACGCCATTTTACATAGTTTGTTCACAGAAAATGCCTCACCCTCTTTCATGGAGTTATGATTAAGACATCGTAAAAACCTTGTTACATCTTTTAAAATCTTTTCCAAGAACGACTGAGCTAGAAAAGCTTATTTTTAGTGCTCCATTACATGCATAGATGCAAGTTTGTTACTATATATTAAGACCAATAAACATATTGGAAATGCCTGTAATATGCCTGAAATGCCTGTAATATTCTCAAGCAGAGAAATGTTTAGTCATATTAATACAGAAGTACCCTAAGTTTGTTTGTACATGTATGATGACCCTTTGAGAAGGGTTTGACAACAACAGAGAGCCTTAACTCCTCCATGACACCTGAACCCACCTCTTATGTTTGGAGGTCCCTGTTTGCTCTCTCTCCTATTTTGCATTCTTTTATGGACTTTTTGTCTTGAGGTAATCTACACATGTTTCAAGCAACAGCAATACTTTTTACTTACGGTTAAGGAAAAAAGATAATGACCCGACCTTTCAGCTAACACACCAGTGAAATATAAAAACTCTTGTACTAAGTATTTAAAACTTAAGGCCATAGTTAAAAGTTTTTTTTTCAAGTGTCTCGAAATATATATATATATATATATTCGAGAAAATGTCTTTTTTAAAATAAATACCATGAAAAGAATGAAAGCCAGGGATGAAATTTGATTTTTTTTTTTTTTTGCAAAAGTGAATCAAATTTCAAAGTCAAGGTCAAGGGTCATAAAAATTCACACTAAAGAAAGGTTTAATTGTCACATTTCCATGGTTTTGGTTAAACTGTCTCAGCACAGGCGGTCTTGTTCCAGTAGTTCCTGATCTTAAATTCTGATTAAGGCAATGCTATTAACTTATATCCCATGAAGAAGGATGTAAGAATCCAGCTTGTTTGTAAAATACTTGTAACCAAACCTCATCGCCCTTTTTAAGTTTCATTACAAGTGATCCGGTAGCCAAATTAAATGGATTATTATGAGAATATGTGCAAGTGTCCACTTCTTCTTTCCCGTTCACGTAGGCCCCGATGTACCCATTATTCCCATCGTTTATGAGATAATTCCAGGTGAAAAAGTAGATTCCATTTTCCGAAGCTGAGAATTTTCCATTGGTTGGATTGTAACCACTACCGATGTTTAACTTGACGTCGTCAAATTTTAAAACTGTTCCGGGAGGTGAATTATGATGATGTTGACTTAATCTGGAGTAGAATGCAGCTGGTACCCCTAATCTTTTCTCTATGCCATCTGTAAAGAAATAGACTCAGTGGGTTTTTTTTTTATTATTTTGAAGACGCTTCTGCTTTTTGCATTCATATTATCATTTGTTTCTGTACATTTGCTTTTTGTTTTTTAGCTCATATCAAAATATATTGAGAACTATAAGCTTTTCGAATTGTTAATCTGTTTCAAGATAAATTGAGCTAAATTAATATGTATTTTTTATATCAATTAATACATACCATTTGTCAAATACCCAGAAATATAAAATTCGTACTTGGTAAATAAATAAAAACTTACATTCTTTTTTATTTTTACATTTTTATAAGAAAGTTTGAAATGATAAGTCATTCTCTGTATTCACTTAGTTTAAATACACCGTTCTCTGATCAGCTTCAATAAATAGTTACGACTAAGCTGCAGAAGTGTAGCTCTCTATTTGGGGAGATTTGAACAGATAAACCCCAGAGACTATCAGTCCGAATTTTCTCAATCAAAGAGCTACATTTTCTATAGCTAACAATGAAAATGAATAGCTTCGAGATTAATTTTACGTCAAATTGAAATTCATTACAACGAGTATGTACCAATCTGATCCATAACCTTCCTTGTATTGTTATTAAGAGTTTCTTCTGTTAGTTTTGCTTTTTCTTCCAGATTCCTTTCCATATTTGAAAACAAATTTTTAGCTTTTTCCTTTTCTAAGTAATCAAACATCTTCAAACTTAGCGCATGGATTTCATCTTTGTGTGCTAGTTTCATCGAATTCACTTCATGTCGAATTTCTAAATATAAATCATGAAAATCGTTAATTCTTTTTTCCTGCAGATAGAAAAAGCCTGCAACTAACGCAACACCGATTGCAATCAGACAGTCCTTCAAATTCCAAGACATCTCTTTTAATTCTCTGGAATAACAAACAGTATATCTGACCTACTTTAGCAAAATGTATCATGAAAAATTAAATCCAAAACCACGTTTATGTACACCCAAAAGTATATACCAATACATGCTCGCAGGGATTGACAATTAAATTCTACTTTCGATTTTAGGCTTGAACTACATGTTTATGCTTGGTTGCGTTCATCTTTAAATGCCAAATACTGATTGCAAAATTCCTAACCGAAAAGACAAACAAGAGACGATACTTTTATGGATATAATGAAAGGAGCCATAACTGACTGGAATTCTAGTATAATATTTGAATCATCTCTGTATCGTCAAATCAACCAGAAAGAAATGTCACCACCTTTTGAATCAGTTATAAAAGAGAGAGATGACTGAATGTTATTATTTAAGGACTATTACAGTACCCCTTGGTTCAACTCAAAAAGGGCGTACTTAAAAATAGTTCTTCAAGCAATAATAAAAGTCTTGGGTGCTCTTGTTTGGTACAGTTAGGAAAGCTCCACTGAAAATAAATACATGTACATGTATAAAATATGCACTTTTCATGTGCTTGTATTTATTATATCTCTCCCCGCTGGTGTACTACCTACCTACCTACCTACCTACCTACAAAGTCCAAAACTGTTGCACCTGGAGGCACATAAGACAAGGACTAGGGATTTCCATTCTTCTCTGTTCTTTGCAATCTTCTCACCTCTCCCCAGGTAAGATTTATTTCTGTAAGTTCTTTTTCCACTGTTCGCTTCCACATTGTTTTTGGTCGGCCTTTCCTGTTTTTCCCTTCTGTGGTCCATCTAAGTGCCACTCTTGCCATGTCATTTGATGGATTCCTCAAGACGCTGGTCTTCTATAGGATCCAAATTAATATTTGAACTATAATAATTGATAGCAAAAAATCTTTATTTATCATCAGATTTCATCAATTAATTTGCAGGGTGCAATAATTCAATTTTAGAACTTTTCACCTTCAATTTTGAATTAAATTTCTGCGATCAATAATTCAATCATTGTAAAGTAAATCCATTATTGTTTTGCTGAAGTGATGCGAAAATGCAATAAATGAATTGTTGTCCATCTATAATTTGAATACAAATTCTTAAAGTTCAAGTTCACCACTTGAATCAAATATTAATGAATTGATAAGAGCATAAATGTATATCATCCATTTATAATCTAATTATTGCTTTCATAAATTTAAAACATGCGTTACAAAATGTAATAAGCTTGGAATTTAACCTTTTGTGTTATTACTTTTCCGTGTCGCAAACAACTCAACCGTCTAATGGTTAAAATACGTCATTACTGGTTGCGTAAGTCGTATGAACTGCTAGTACATCCTGGTAGTCAAGGGTTTCCGATCCGATATCTACTGTTGTAGCGTAGATATCGGATCGGAAAGCCTTGCCTAGCGAAGCTGTATGAAAAACTGGAGAATCTAGAAGTTGGCACTCTAATGTAAGATTTAACTGATGCTGAATTCCAGCGACCTAAACCCTTGATTTCATCTTCTGAAAGACCAACTAGATATGCTGTTGTTGCCGTCCCGATCCTAAAAGAATTGTCCTCTACAAATATTTGAATTTTTCAATTAAAATTTGTATATGACAATTTACAAATTTTAATTGAAAAATTCAAATATTTGTAGAGGACAGAATGTTCATTAAAACTAATGCCATGTACTTCTGCAGCTTGTGGGGAGGCTGGTTCCTGTTGTCAAAAGTATTGAAAACTTTTGGTCAAGTATATTTTTTTAAAAATCTACACACAAGTCTAAATAAAAAAAAATAATGGAGGCCAGCTCGCTTGTTTTAGCACTACGGAGCAATTAATATGAAATTTTTGCACTATAATTACGTCTAACACATAAATCAATTCTTCAAGTGTTTTATTTAATATTTTTATCCAAATGTATTATGGATCAAACTGTCTTAAACTGTCATATTAAAAATTGTGTCAACAAAAATAGTTTCAAATTACTTCGCATAGTAAATAATTTGACCTTTCTGTACTCAGAACTGTTATTTTTCTGATGTTAAAAATTTAACGAGGCCCAATCTGCTTGATCTGCGCATACGTTTTTAACGCAGCAGCGTCAACTCAGTCATGTCACAGTACCTTGACTGCCGTCCCAATTGAATACAATAACGTCACAATTAAAATGACGTCAAATTGCGCTAAAATGTTTCGCTGATCTTGCATTCCTGGAAGCTCTATAGACTGTGCATATTGAAAGCTGGCTCATTCTGGCATTTCTATTATTTACATGTTCTAATTTTCAAAAAATTAATCATGACTTGTAGAACATAATTTACTTTGAGGTATCAATTTATTGGTACAAATTCATTAATTTTATCTTGTTTTATTTCAGTTAGTGAGTTAGAAAAACAAAAACACACTGCAACCAATAGTAAACAATTTAGGCTTTCTCCTTGAATATGTTGAAGAATTTATGCACATCCCTTTTTACTGCGGACTTGAATATGCATGGATTAGCTTGAGTTAAAAAAAAGTCTCTGAATCATTAAAATACAACCACCAAAATACTTTATTTGTATATATAATACGACACGATTTTAGTAAATTTCGTAATTTTTGTCGCCTTTTTACCCCCCCCCCCTTTCCACCTTTTTTCCACGTAAAACAACGTCGTGTGTTAAAAATGTTTCTTTTCATTTTTTTAAAAGAGGAATAAAAATCGCATAATATGTGTGAAAACAAAACATTTCTTCATTTAATATTTTTTTATTTGTCAATTACTTTATTTTTATGGGAGGTTAGTATGTAATTGTGTATAAAAACACGAAAATGGTCCATATCTTGAAAGTGTCCCCATTTACCTACAATAAAGGCAAGGTAACAAAATTTCACTCTAATTTTTCTTGGCATAATACATACAAATATATTTCTAAGAATTGAAATTTTTTTATCATATCGTTTTCGTATTTTCCAACTAGATTGGGCCTCGTTAAAAAGCAAGAAAATCATTTGACAGAAATGTCATTTTTTCTTAAATTAAGCAGAGTAGCTAAAATTATTTTATACATGTATATTCGTAATGTGATATAAAAATGGGAGTCTGTGATGTTAATCGTAAGATATTATTTAAAATAGGGCTAATTAAGCTTAAAATTGGGCTATTTTTTCCAAGACTTTCCCGAAATATTTGCCAAATATGATGATAGAATTCATGATAGTTAATTTAATATATAATTTAGGATCAGCACAGAACATTGCACTGCTTAAAATTACTCTTTGTGCAGGCTGTATGTAAGAAATAGGAATTCACACTTAACAACAATAAAAAACCATCCGCCACAAAATATAGTTCAATATTGTTCCTCACTAGATGTTTTCGGTATGGAATTTAATCATGGGGTTTTAATTGAATATAGTTTAACAAGCATTATAGAATCAAAATTTATTGTAAGAACTAAAACATAATGTAGAATTTTTCAAGGCCATGACAAAAGTCTGCTGAGAAAATAAAAGCTGAGGAGCAAACCTCCTTGAGTCTCATTTTTAAAGCAGCCCATTAAACTGATACATATGTACATACAAACCGGTACACCATCACAATGCACCTTTTAGGTAACCACACTGAGCACCTGAAATTTATAATATTTTATGGATTTAAAGGAACGAAAAGTAAAATTTACAACTGAACAAGTAGAATATCTTGTGAAAAGCATATATCTGATGTGGTCAAACATGAGTACTTCTTACGTCCATTTTTGTCAATAATGTGCTCGCTCTGCTTTCTACCATATATGTTCTTGAATCTTAAATTTTCATCATCATAATATTTAGAAAAGAGGTTACTCCGAGGCAAGGATTTTTTGGATAAGTTGGGACATGTTGTCATCTAGCTATCTACTAGTGAATCTTTTCGGTTTTGACTGTACACTTTATTATAAGGCAGTGATATTACCAAGATTTTCATAATAATTAAGACACTTGTAAGAACTTAACAAACTAAACAAACTACATGTATTGTCTTTTTACTCAACAGAACAGTCAATTTGAGGAAAAACTATGATCTAAATAAAAAAAAGTCCATTAGCACTAGTATTTTAGGGTGAAGTACTGGGACAAGCAACTAATTTTCAATAAAACAACAG